TCTAGAAGCACTCCAGTCCTATGTTTATCAAGTTTCTTTCGCATGTGACAGGGCAGATATAATCTCCTTTGAGGCGTTTTGCTTTTCTACGTATGTCTTCTCCTATTTTGCAAACTTGTCCCAAAACTCCTGGCCAGTTAATCTAAGAACAGAGTCTACTGACAGAGGTAAACGACGAGATAAACGAACGCACAGAATCTCTGCTCTCCATTAACGTCCCGCGCTCCGGCTCTAATATCGCGAGAGGGCTCTACTCCAGATAGAGGTGGGATTCAACGGCGTACGTCCCAGCAGCCTTTGCGCATGTCGTACGTACGCTCCCTTCTTGAGCTATAAATATGGCTGCTTCAGCCTTCTTCGGTCTTTCTCGCAGCGGCAACGGCGCTAACAAAGTCGGTCTATATCCGTGGTGAGCAATTTTACCCGCGTAACTCCCGAATTATAGGTCTACTCTCTCGGTTCGGCAGTCTGTCTTGAGGATGTTGTTTAGGAGAAATACCTCCTGCGGCGTCCGTACCATTGAGGCGGGAGGGCGGGAGTGGTCGCTAGGACCCGGGTGCCGCGGACTGCGGGCGCCGCGGCGCGTTTCTCCCGGGCTCCTAAGCGCAACGCGGCTCCGCTTCCTGTGGGTGTCTGTCCCGTGGTTTGTCTTCCTGCTTCCCAGCGGGCGCGTGTTCCCTAATGGAACTTACGCTTGTTTGATTTTGGTCCTCCATCCGCGGGTAAATGAAGGCTTTCTAGTTCGGGAACGCTTAGCGACCAGCCATACTTGAATGTCGGGTGGGTGAGCACGCGCTCTGTCTCTGCTTTTGCCATTACTGACCGCTCAGTTCCCGAGAAGTTTCTCATACTATGACAACTCAATGATGTTGGAGCTGAATTTTGGTTGTGTTTTGAGACTTGACCATAATACATCCGGAGGAATCTCTGTATATCGTGGAATTATTTCTCAGCGCTGTCATCTGTAAGTTGTGTGAATTGCTCTTACCAACGTGGATACCCCGGGAGGTCACTCTCCCCGGGCTCTGTCCAGGTGGCATAGGGGAGCATAGGGCTCTGCCCCGGGATGTACAGTCCCTTTCCACAACGTTGGAGAGGAAGCTGGGCCTCGTGTCCGCGCCTGCATATTCCTACAGCTTCTCAGAGTCCTTTGGGCAATGACTGAGGAGATAAACCATGCAGGAAACAGTCCTAGATTTCGCGGTCTGTACACAATTTCCTCACATTAAGAAAAACTTGCTTTCGCCGGGCGTGGTGGTGCACGCCTGTAATCCCAGTACTCGGGAGGCTGAGGCAGGAGGATCGTTGCGAGTTCGAGGCCAGCCTGGGCTACAAAGTGAGCTCAAAGTCAGCCTGAACTGCATAGCAAAAGCCTTTCTCAAAAAGAAAAAAGAAAAATTTGCCTTAATCTCTTACTTAGTGAATCATTTTCCTTGCAGAATTCTTTGAAGATTCCAGATAACTTCTTAGGCAGGTAAGTAAATCAGCACTGAATTGTTTCTGGATTAACACTGCTCCATTAGTCGAGCTCCATCTTTTGAGAAATTTAATCATTATAAGCACAACATACTGGTTCTGTTCATTCGCAAGCTTGGCTCCGTGTATAATTTGAGTATGTTTATGTCTTGTAAAAAAATTTTGTGTAAAGCCTCGAGTAGTGGCACATGCCTTAATTTCAACCATTGAGAGGCTGAGGCAAGAGGATCACCACTGTTCCAGGCCAGCCTGGGATACATAGTGAGTTCAGGGTCAGCCTGAACTACAGTAGTCCTGTATCAACAAACAAAACAATTCTGTTTAGTCATATGTTTTGAGAAATAAAATTTTTAGCCTGTTAGATGTCAGATGTGCCGAGTTTGTGGTCCTACAACTTGAAGGAATGAAGTTGAGTCAGTTTTATTGGAAATAGAGAAGAGTACCTCCTGATTTCCAGGAAAGGTCTGAATTGGGTGACCACCAAAGCCCTTTTGTCGCGTAATTAGCATAGCAAAGTCATACTGTGGTTATAACGAGTCAAACTGCCATTAACTTATAGGATTCTAAGTAAAGCTGCTTAGCTAATACTAACATAGCAGGGAAATCAGTCCTGTATCAAGGATGCGTGGAGAGAATGAAGGCTGGGTTTGTTTTGTTTTCAGACAGGGATTGCTGTGGAGTCCAGGCTGTTCTTTCGGGTAAGGGAGCCGTGCTGTGGCTAGGTATTACAACTGACTCCAGCGACTCAAGAAGAGCCTGTGAGATTGTTTAGATTTGTGAGTGTGCGCTTCTGCACTGAAAGCAGGAAATCCAACGTGGACACCCCGGGAGGTCACTCTCCCCGGGCTCTGTCCAGGTGGCATAGGGGAGCATAGGGCTCTGCCCCGGGATGTACAGTCCCTTTCCACAACGTTGGAGAGGAAGCTGGACCTCGTGTCCGCGCCTGCATATTCCTACAGCTTCTCAGAGTCCTTTGGGCAATGACTGAGGAGATAAACCATGCAGGAAACAATGTTTAGTAAATTTAAGACTTCAAATTTGAGCTGTAAACTTCAAGAATATAATCTTCTGTTTCTTTTCTTTCAGGAGAAGGTAACCATACTGGACTTGTGGCAGATGACCTGGTTTTATTTGGGTTCCTTGAATTAGGGAGACCTGGTAAAGTGATACTAGTTACCTTGGGGTTTGTTTTCCAGTAGTACTGTTATCCTGCATTTGTCTCTTGGTCTTGTTTTTTTTTTTTTTAGGCAAGGGCTCACTTTATAGTTGTGAGGTGTTTGTTCGTGGGGTTTTGGTTTTTTTGTGTTTTTTTTCCTTTGTGTTTTTGAGACAGGGTCTCGCTGTGCAGTTTAGGCTGGCCTTGAGCTCACTCTGTAGCCCAGGCTGGCCTCAAACTTACAACAATCCTCCTGTCTCAGCCTCCCCAAGTGTTTTGGGTTTTTTTGTTTGTTTGTTTGTTTTCTGGTATGGGGAATTGAACTCACGACCTTGCGCTTGCCAGGCAGGCACTCTGCCGCTGAGCTGAACCCCCAGCCTCACAAGTGCTTTTGAAATGGGCATTTTTTAGGTAATTGGGAAGTAGGGAGAAAATGTTCAAATGAAAGAAGGCATAGGAGGGAATGGAGGTTTAAAAAATAAAGAATGGAAGGAAAATACTTATCAGCAATCTGTTCAGAGGCCTATGAAGATGCAAGTTGCCTTTGATTTAGGTAGTTTGGCTTCTTTTTTTGTTTGGTTCTCAAGGAGTCAGATTTTCCAGCCAGTTAGGATTTTGAATGAATGAATTATAAATGTATAAAATCACATGTGTGTCTTTAAAGAGGTTTTGTTTGGGTTTTCTGGTTGGGGTTTTGTTTTTGTTTTTTGAGACAGGGTCTTGAGCTCACTTTGTAGCTTAGGCTGGCATCAAACTCACACTGATTTTCCTGCCTCAGCCTTCCAAGTGCAGGGACCACAGGCATGTGCCACCACCCTTGGCTTCGTGTTTGGGTTTTCTGTTGTAAAAATGAATGTACCTCACAATTCTGAGATCAAACTAATGTATTCATGAGTTGAAATAAAGATGATTATATGTTTGTATGGGTCTTCTTTTTTAATGCGGGAATGTTACAAGGGTTTCGGCTAGTCCAGTATTTTATGAACAGTACTGATTGGGTGTTGTTGCCAGGTTGGTTCAACAAAACTAAGACCCCAAAGTGTTTGACCCCAAATTACTACATTTTGCTTGGCTTGGGTTGCTTGTTGTTTAAAATTAGTTGGGGTGGGGCTGGGTATAGTGCTGAAGAGAGGCACAGCATCTGCCTGGCAAGTGCAAGGTCTGTTTTTTTGTTGTGGTGGGTGTTTTTGTTTTTGTTTTGTCTTTTTGAGACAGGATCTTGCTATGCAGTTCAGGCTGGCCTTGAGCTCACTTTGTAGCCCAGGCTGGTCTTGAGCCCACAACAGTCCTCCTGCCTCAGCCTCCCAAGTGTTAGGATTACAGGTGTGCACCACCACACTCATCATGCAGGGTCTGAACTTGATTTCCCAGTACCCCCAAAAAAATTAGTTGGGGAAAAGGCACCAAAGATGGAAAACCCTGTTCCCATGAATTTTGGCAATGTTTGTCAAAGTGGTGGCTGACTGGTCATAGGTACTCAATAAGAAATCTGGATTAAATTGCTTCTCGGATACTCAGCAGTGTTCATCTCACAGCTAGTGTGTTTACTGTCATCTCCTGTGAGCCAAGAGTTGCCAGCTTGCCTTATGTCACAATGGGAACCTTGTAAAACTCCTCACTGTCTAAAGCCTTGCAGAAGGTGAAAGCTCTGAGGATGGGGAAATGGCAAGGCACCACCTGGAAGGTAGTGTAGCACTTGTTTGGGGCTGAAGTGTAAGCGGGTGGAAGTGACAGCCAGGGAGTAGTTCCAAAACTGCAGGAGCCAGGGTTGCAAGTGGTTGAGTTCAGGCATGAGCTAACTGCACTGTCACTGTGCTGAGAAGATTGGTATCACACTCACAGGTACAGAATGATTACATTCTGTCCATGCAGAGAAGAAAAATGGGTTGGAGTTTCCTACCAGTTAAACCTAGGAAGGAACTTTACACTGAGCTATATTCCTAGTTCTTTGAGACAGGGTCTCAAACTTGCCAGCCTGCTACAGTGCCTCAGTGCTGGGATTACAGTTCTGTGCCAGGCCATGCCTCGCTCTAACTTTTCTCAGTATAGTGGAATTGAGGTCATTTGCCTGGACTAAGCGTTTGTGCCAGGCACCAGTGTAATTTTAAAGTATTGATTTTTTTTTTTTTTCTTTGAGATGGTTTTGCTGTGCAGTTTGGACAGACCTTGAACTCGCTTTGTAGCCTAGGCTGGTCTCAAAATTGCAATGATCCTCCTGCCTCAGCCTCCTGAGTGCTGGGATTGCAGGTGTGTGCCACCATGCCCAGCTTCAAGTATTGATTTTTACCTATATGAGTTAATAATCAGAATTGCCCAAGTCCATAACTAGAAGTGAGCAGATCTGCTACACAACTACTGAATGCCTACTAAAGAAGCCAGATGAGAAGCAGGTTTGTTATAACCAGGACCATTTCTGTTCACCTTTGAATCGTAACTGCAATCTGTGTGACCTTGGAAGAGTCACAACAAAAGTACCTGTCTCACCTGAAGTGACGGCATACACGGGTAATCTCAGTGATTGCGAGGCTGAAGCAAGATTTCCTTGTGCTCCAGGACAGCCTGTACCTCACAGGCCCTGTTTAAAAAAACAAACACACCAGGCATTGTTGTACACATCTGTGATCCCAGCACATGGAAGAGGCTGAAGCAGAAGAATCAGATTCAAGCCCAACCTGGGGAACCTGCAAGACCCTGTCTAAAAAAGATAAGTTGGGCATGGTGGCACACACCTGTAATCCCAGCACTCAGGAGGCTGAGGCAGGAGCATTCCCACAGTTGAGGCCAGCCTAGATTACAGTGAGGTTGTATCTCAAAAAAAAAAAAAAAAAAATAGTGAAGGCCCTGGGTTTGATCCTCAGTAACAAAACAACACAAGAGGGGCTGGGGATTTAGCTCCCTGGCACAGCACCTGCCTGGCAAGTGGGAGGTTGTGAGTTTGATTCCCTGTACCAGGAAAAAACAAAAAACAACACAAGAAACCAGTCACTCATAGTCAGGATTTGTCTCTCATTATTTTTTTGTCTTTTTTTTTTTTTTTTTTTTTTTTTGAGACAGGGTCTGGCTATGCAGTCCAGGCTGGCCTTGAGCTCACTTGGTAGCCCAGGCTGGTCTCGAACTTGCAACGATCCTCCCGAGTGCTGGGATTACAGGCGTGTGCCACAACACCCAGCAGGATTTGTCTCTGGAGACCAAGTCTCCATATGTAACCCAGGCTGGCCTCAAATTCCACAGTCCTGCATTCTGTGGCCTTCCCAAGTGCTGGGATTATAGCTGTGTACTACCACACCCAGCTTGTAGTTAGTATTAAATGAATTTATATCTATAGTAGTAGTCCCCAAATTTTGAGCCAGGTGTGGTGCATGCCTGTAGATCTAGCTCTTCAGGAGGCTGAGCCCATAGTATCACAAGTTCAAGGTCAACCTAAGCAATTAGCAAAAGCTTGTCTCAGTAAAAAGCAGAACATATCCAGTAGTTCAGTGGTAGAATGCTGGGTTTGTATCCCCAACACAGCAAAAGGAAGAAGGCATGTAAATGCTATGAACTTGTTTTTTGAAACAGGGTCTCACTAATAGTTCAGACTGGTTTTGAACTCACTAGCCTACGCGGGCCTCAAATTTAAAGTGATCCTCCTACCTCAGCCTCCTGAGTGCAGGGATTAAGGTGTACACCAGCACACCCAACAAATGTTAACATCTTACATTCTTTCATGACTTAAATGAAGAACTGAAAATATAGTAGTTTTCAGTAAGTGAATGAATCAAGTCTATAACAGTTCCATTTCTTCATTTAACTAGGCTTGATTCGCACTTAGAACCACTGTACTTTTCTAAGAAAAACAGGAGGTTCAGGGATTAGTAACTTGCCCAAGAAGGTCTAACTAGTAAGTAAAAGAACCAGAGCCTGGTATGATGGTGTGTGCCTGTAATCCAGCATTCAAGGGTGAGGCAGGAGGATCACTGTGAGTTCGAGACCAGCCTGGGTTACAAAGTGAGCTCAAGCCCAGCCTGAACTGCATAGCAAGACCCTATCTCATAAAGACAAACAAAAAGGCTGAGGCAGGAAGATTGCTGTGAGTTCAAGACCAGCCTAAACTGCATAGAGGAAAAAAACAAGAGTTGGAACCTTTCTAACTCCAAAGCCGCATTGGAAAACAAACAAAACCTGCATTGTAATGAATCATAAGCTCTGGGCCAGACACTGTGATGAAATCACATATACATTGTAACATACATGTTGTTCAATTCTCTAGGCATGCATCTCTAGTTAATTTTTTGTGTCCATTTGCAGATGAGGAAACAGGAACAGGATTTGCAAAGCTTGCCCAAGTTGAGTTCTTTTTTGTTGGCCGGCAGGGCATTTGACTACAGAGCCTGTACTCAACCTACACATCACACCTTAAAAACATTAACAATCTCTGTAATCCCAGCACGCACAGCACTCGGGAGGCTGAGGCAGGAGGATCATTGCAAGTTCAGAACCAGCCTGGGCTACAAAATGAGCTCAAGGCCAGCCTGAACTGTACAGGGAGACTGTCTCAAAAAGAAAAAAAAAAAAAATTATGTTTCCATCTTGTTTAAACCACAGAACCCCCACCCACCCCATTTGGTAAGCACGGTATCACTATGCTACACTCCTAGCTAAATCCACTGATTTTTTTTTTTTCCTCCTAGTACTGGCAGTTGAACTCAGGGTCTTTATGCTAAGCACATCGCCAACTCTTTGTTTTGTTTTGTTTTGTTTTTCTTTCTCCTTTTTTGAGACAGTCTCACTGTGTAGTGCAGGCTGGCCTTGAACTCATAGCAGTCCTCCTGCCTCAGCCTCTTGAGTGCTGGGATTACAGGCATGTGCTGCCATACCCAGCCCTTTTTATTTGGTACCAGGAATTGAACTCAGGACCTTGCACTTGCCAGGCTGGCACTGTGCCACTGAGCTATATCCCCACACCCAGCCCTTTTTATATTTTGAGACGGCCTTGCTAAGTGGGCCAGGCGCATTTGTGATTCTCCTGCCTCGTCCTCCCAAGTGCTGGAATTACAAGTGTGTACCGCTGTGCCTGGCCAGAGGACAAATGTAGTAACCACTACATAAAACTCAGTTTCAAAAAAGAAAAACAAGGGCTGGGGATTTAGCTCAGCGGCAAAGCGCCTGCCTGGCAAGCGCAAGGTCGTGAGTTCGGTTCCCGGTACCGGAGAAAAACCAAAAAA